TCAGCTGACGAACCCGTTTTCGCAAACTTTTTTCTCAAAACCAGTTACAGGCTAACCTAANTGCTCAACTTCAATCACGTTTCGTTAAAACACGAGCAGTGATCGGATAACAAACAATAAGCTGGCGCAGAGACACGAGTTGGTCCGCTACAGCATGACGGAGGAACACTTTTGTAAGTACTTCAATTTACCACAAATAGACTACATGGTCCAACGATTTTTGCAGGGTTGTGATGTAAACAAACGCTCAGCTGACGAACCCGTTTTCGCAAACTTTTTTCTCAAAACCAGTTACAGGCTAACCTAATACTCACGCACGCCGCCAATTTACTGTCAAAAATTTCTCATGCACATACAACTTGTATGGGACCAACCGAAATTGAACGTGCGTATGAAGCTAACTCAATTTCCAATTTTTGTTCTGCGTGACATTTTGATTTGACGCTTAGCTCAATGAAATCAAATGCAAACGCACGCCAATTTCGGGTGACACAAAAAAACAAATTCGTCGGCGTGCGTACCAAAACGCAAGCCGCGAATATTAGGTTAGCCTGTTATGCCCGTATGATACTACGTTTTTTTTTTTTGTATTTCGAGTGTATTTTACGATGTATTTTGAAAGAAAGAGAAGGTCACATACAATTTCAGTACTTGTGTAAGCGAGTAAGCTATATACCAAAAAACAAACGAAAAACTAACGAAAAACAAACTAGGTTGTTAAAAACAGTCCGGCCAACTTGTATTTCGGTAAGTTTTTTTTGACAGATGGCTGTATTTCGTTAGTTTTTTTACACAGCTGTTTGCATTTTGACATACGAGAGATTTTCTAAGCATACAATGGAAATACAAGTCTTATCTATTGCAACAAATTGTTTGCTAAACGCAGCTGCCTTAATACAGCGTAGAAAAAAGAAAAAGACTAAAAAAAATTATTCTGCGCAATGGCTTTTAAAAAGAGAACTGGAAGGTAAGTTTCGAATTCCACATTATATACACATGTATATAGTTCGTTTTTGTAATTATCAAAAATACTTTTCATAGGATTTAGCCATAAACTGTTAAAGGAAATTGAGTGCGAGGATTCAATCCTTCACAAAAATATCTTAAGAATGACTCCAGCTCAGTTTGCATTCTTATTAGAAAAAGTACTCCCCTATATTAGCAAGCAGGATACAAAATTCAGGAACTGCATAAGAGCTGCGGAACGGCTGCAGCTGACATTGCGATATCTATCCACTGGTAAGATATAATATTTTCTTGGTAATTTTTAGTACCGACATACATATGTATGTACATATTTCCAAAATTAGGTGAAACCCAAAGGTCACTTCAATTGCCGTTCCGAATTCAGCAGTCAACCATTTCCAGAATTTTAAAGGAATCAATTCCCGCAATATATTTGGCGTTAAGGGAGGAGTATTTGAAATTCCCTGCAAGTGAGCAAGATTGGCGTGATATTGCAAAAGACTTTTATCAGATGTGGGGATTCCCGAACTGCATCGGCGCTTTAGATGGTAAACTAACAATTAACACTTTTAAATTCACTCAACTGATGAAACGTCTCAGGAAAGCATTGCAGAATACTGCCAGTGAGGAAAGCAGGATCTACGTATTTCAATTGCAAAGGATACTATTCATTTGTATTGATGGCAATCGCTGATGCCCACTATCGTTTTATTTATGCTGATGTCGGTGTTAATGGCAGAGTGGGTGATGCTGGAATTTGGTTGAACTCGGACCTGAAATACGCTATTGAAAAAAATGAAGTACATATACCAGCCCCATGCACGCTCCCTTTCATGTCAACTCCCTCGCCTTTTGTGCTTTTAGCCGATGATGCCTTTGCTCTAAAAGACTACTTAATGAAACCTTACTCTCATCTAAGACTATCACCAAGCGAACTTAAATACAACAACATACTTTCGAGGAACAGGCGCGTTGTTGAAAATGCTTTTGGCATTCTTGCGAACCGTTTTCGAGTTTTATTTTCGCCCATCCATCGCGCTCCAGCTGCAGCCATTCAGATTGTATTATCTTGCGTATGTGTGTACAACTTTTTGAGAACAGAAAATGTGAAAAAGAAAACTACGTTTGACGCCATTTCCGAAA